ATAAGTATTTGCATACCTCTGCGCACCCAGTTCGCGCAGACAGGATACATCATCAGCTCGTTCACGCACGCTGTGCAGACAGAGCGAGAATGGCAGACAAACATCAACAACCCGATCTTCCTTCCTGGTATTGTAGTACTTTTAAAGTTTTCTCACCGGTGATGACACATGATGTAGCCCAGCGGTTAATCCAGTCCTCGCGATTCAGATAACCAGCTCATTAGAAGTGAGCTACGTGCATGAACTGTGTTCCGATCGATATGATAACATGGTCGCCGTGATTTTGCCAAGTAAGACATGTCCTTAACTTTTGTTGATCCTGGATCAACATTACTGTCCAAAAATATAGACTAAACATGCACACAGTCACCGTGTCTGTTCAATAAAGACACAATGAAAAGGAAGTGACAGAACTTTTATTCTGTATTGTGATGTACAAACAAGTGTAACAGATTGTTGAAAATTAATAAAAAAGTTGAGTGGGAACTTAGTTTTAACCATTACATGTTGATTCACTGGAAGATTGAGTTATGACATTTTAATTAAAAATGAAGAGGTCAAATAGCTTTTAAATATACATATACGTGGATGTATCATTCACAATAAGTTCAAAAACATGCATTTACTAAATACGATGAATGCTTTTTTTGCCTCTCCTCTGGTGTAATAACCAAGCTCCTAAAATGAGCTCCAATGGACAACACAATGAGCACCATTAGGAGCAATTACTGTTGTTATGGAGCAGGTGTAAACGGTTGCTGTTTTCCCGCTACATATCCATGGCAGCCTCCCCACACACCACACTGTTGTCTCAGAGGCAGGCAGCTGAACCCTTAATTACCCTGACGGTGAACACGCAGATCCAAAGACTGCATCAGGGTCCCTAAACAGTGCATCATCCTCTATTTGAGTCAGTCCCATTAGAGGGACTTTGATATTGTCAAAAGCCTGTTTTGGGCCGTCAGTTTCCCGTGCCGACGCTATAGCAGCCGTCGTACTCAATAGTGTGGTGAATGGTGAATGGTGAATTTTGAGTTTGAGGTAATGACGAGTTCATTGATTGGAGAAAGTTCCTGAATGAATCTTTCTCAATAACATCAATAATGTGTTTTGAAAAAAAAAAAAATACCCTTAATTACCCTGACGGTGAACACGCAGATCCAAAGACTGCATCAGGGTCCCTAAACAGTGCATCATCCTCTATTTGAGTCAGTCCCATTAGAGGGACTTTGATATTGTCAAAAGCCTGTTTTGGGCCGTCAGTTTCCCGTGCAGACGCTATAGCAGCCGTCGTACTCAAGCAGACAGACAGTCCCACTTTAGACAATGTTGTGGTGCAGTTACTGGTTATATAACAGAATTAGATTTGCCTACTGCTCCCTGGTGTGTGTGTGTGTGTGTGTGTGTGTGAGTGTGTGTGTGTGTGTGTGTGTGTGTGTGCGCTGACATAAAACAATCAGGAGTAACGGCGAGACAGACAGGGAGATACCCGCAGTGGGACAGCAGCGGGTGGAAAGTGAGCGAGAGCACAATTAGTGAGGTCACCGCAAAGTGATGCGTAACGGGGAAAGGATTCCTTGTTGTAGCACCTCAGCCACGTCACACAGTCAAGCTGTGCCCTTCAGGAGCACACTGTCACATAACTTTGCAAGGTTTCAACACATGCATGTTGATTTTTTCTGTCTGTCTTTTATCGAATATATATATAATTTCTAAAATAGTAATAATAATAAAAACACAAGTAATTATCACAAGTCACATAACACACACAAACATGCATAACAATGACTGCAGAATGAACAGTTAACTGAATAAGGAATTTTGGCCTGCCAAGTATTCCTGTTTGGGATCCAGAAGCTCACGGTCTCCCGTTGTCACTCTAGGTTGAGGGTTGTTTTAAATAATTACAATATAAATAGACAATATAAATCCATAGCTTTCTAGCAATTGTGTAGTGTTGGGTAGTTATAAAGCAATTAGCTACTGTAATCTAGTAAAAAAATAAAATAAAAAATAAAAACATACATACATAAAGACCCTCTTTATTTTTTTTCATTTATATATTTTATGCTTTTATTTTATAATTAATTTTTTATATAATTTTTTTTAATTATTTATTTATTTATTTTACTTTTGTAATTGTTCTGATAATTGTGGTGATTATATTGCATAATTTACTTGTGCACTTGTTATTTTGTGGAGAAAAATCAAATATAGAAATGACAACTCAACTTGGTTCTAACAAGCAGGGCTGGGTAAAACTATTTGAAAACACCTTTGAAGTAACACTTTATTTTACAATGTGCTTTTTACCTGTACATATACTTACTAAATAACAGTAAAATTATGGAAAAATATGCAACGCAAAACCTAATCCTAACCCTATAGTAAATACAAGTTATTCATATTACTCAATTGTATAATTACACTATATAGTACTCAATAGTACTGAATTGTAAAATTACACTATATCGAGGGCACCATAAAATAATGTGTAACTGTTTTTTCATTGTTTTATGGTAGCGAAATTCAAAATTAACATTTAAATTCACAGAACATTTATGCAAGTATGATTTTTAAGTAGAAAAGCAGAGAGAATGTCAAAAGGATAGATGTAGCCTATGGCAATATACTAAAAATACACAATTTCATACAAGAGCCCACATTCAAGTCTACATGATATTCTGGTCTCTAGATATCTGGATCCCTCCTTTAGTTTAAGTCTGTTTTTTTTTTTTTTTTAAATCATTTGCTAAATGAAAATTGCAAGTCTGTTAGAAAATTACTTGCACAGCTCTCTTCATGATTTGAAGTATCATGTATATCTGTAGCATAAACAGTGTAGATATCTCTTTGAGTTGCCTTTCTCCAGATTCAATTATATGGGTTAGTTCTGTACCCATAGTGTATGAGCAATAGCAAGTGACTCTTGCCTTAAGATCCATTAACACAATCTTTAAGCAAAGAACAACACTTCCAGCTATAGAGGAAACACCTTCCTGTATAGATTAAAGACACATAACCTCTTGTGTACAATTTTTAATAATCAGTTTTACAAGATTGAATAAAAGTACAAATACAAAAGAACAGAGCTAAACACTTTTGGTCGGGAGGAGTGTCATCTTAAAGCTCATAAAATAATGCTTCAAAACTAAACGGATACAGCTCTACATAAACGCATCTTTCTCAAAATAAGCATCTTGATACGTATGAGGCAATCTGGCAATCCACTGAACACTCAACTTTGATTCGATCAAATGTAGTGCAATTTGTAACAAAACTGGACCCAAGACAAATATAAAAGACTTCTCCAGAAATGGATGTTAAAACAGTGTACATATGTGAATTGAAGTATACATAAAAATTCAAAGAATTCAAGATCAAGCGTCCCATTTATGCAACATTACCTATATGAATAATCACCTAAGACAGGCTTTCTGAGGGTAGATTTGAGGATATTTGTTAACAGTTTATGATTTTGTAACAACAGAAGTGTATGAAAAGCGTCATGAAGGTTAACAAGTGTGCATAGCTCAAGAGCTCAGCGCATCTTAAAGATTAACAATAACTTCTGTAATGTACTAAATAAGTGAACTCTGCATATGGTTTGGCATAAGGTGTATTGCTTCAGTATAAGGCCACTTTTTGAATCTTCTGCGTGTTTAGTCAAAGTCTCTGTCGGTCAGGATTAGTGGAGCCACCAGGGTCCAGAGGTACAGCACCAGTCCCAGCCAACTCGAGCAGATCTTCACCCACACAGACGGCATGCTGGTTTTCATGGCTGCGTAGTCCGTTTCGGGTCTGAGACGGAAAGAGAAAAAGAGTACAAAAGAGAAGAAATATTTATCATTCAATCCTCAATTGTTCCAAATGAACATATATACAGAACTCTCAAAAACTCCCCAGCAGTGTATAGAGTACAGCTGTCGAAAAAAATTCAAATTTCAAATATTCGTCGAATTTATAATAAAAATCCACATTCGAATACAAAAACGTTGCATATAAAACGTCAGGCAGCCTATCAGTGGTGCACGAAATGCGAAAGTGTCATTGCATTGTAATGTTTTTCTTAGTCTATCCAGTTGAAGCCACTAGATGCGGCGCTGCTACGTTGTTCATTCAAAATATTGCAGAAAAAGGGAACAATCAATGCGGGGATGATGTTGTTTACGTCAAAACCGAAACCAAGCCGTTCACACAGATATCGCATATTTATCACATTTTCTAGAGGGACATCTATCAGCGTTGCACTCGCGTCTCGCACAAGAGAGCCGCATGTTTAGAAAGCCATGTAAAATTAATGTAAGTTCAACTTTTAAATAACATGTCTCAAGACTTTATAGCGGTTTTCCCCATCCCACTGCATCTCAAGTTTTTAAATGAAGAAAGTACTCTTTGTGATTGGTTTTCGGTCTTTTGTATTAAACTATACATACATGCATAATGCCGTTTTGTTTCTAATTGTTTAAGCAACTTTATTAATTATATATGGTTTATAAACTATTTTAAACATTATGCACTTTTTTTCAAAGATAGTCGTGTTATTTTATTATGCTTTGAAGAAATGTGCATAATATTTTTGCTTGATGCACCCTCTTGTGCCTCAGGAGAGAAGCCAAAAGCTTTTTTCACCCTAACTGAAATTATGCCTTTTAAATTCGATTATAATTCGAATATTGATAATATTTAACCCCTTAACTGTCACCGTCCCACTCTTTTTTTTGTTGTCCTTTTTCTCTATCAAATCTTTTAGTAATCATCATAAATTATATATCATTTGAAAGCTTAGAAGCCCAAGATTCATCCTGTGAAAACCATTTTGAAATCGGACATTGCGTTACCATGGAAATGGTACTTTAAAATATTTTGGCGGTCTCCTCCCCCTTAGTGGGCGGTGTCAAGTGTCATATTACAAAATGTATTACGGTATTTTACAATCAAAACTTTGTATAATCTTGACAAAATACATATCATTGGAAAGGTCTGAGTCTCGGGATTCCATATTTACAGAGAAATCTAGACATTTGTGACAGAAAAATGCATTAAAAAAATTCAATGGAGATTTGATGGCACCCGGTGGCTGTTTGTGGTATAACACCCTAAATAAAATCTCACAGGAACCTCAATTGTTTTCATATCAACTTCAAATTTAGAACATAACTTATTTAGACACAAGGCTTTAATTTTATACCAATTTTAGAGTAAAACCTGTTATGTAAAACATTTACTATATATAAAATAAAATTAGTATAGCGCATTTTCTATAACTTTTTGATACTTGAATTTTTTACAAAAACGTTCTTCTTTAAAAAGAGACCAACCTTAGGTCTGTATTCCAAAGTGTTCATAAATGACAACAATTTAAGTTTGGATAGTGCACTTGTCAATTTAAAAAAATGGGGGGTGACAGTTAAGGGGTTAAGTAAAAAATTTGAATTTAGTTTTTCAGCCATTTTGACAGCCCCAGTATAGAGTGGAACAGCTGCTGGAAAAGTGGCCGTTGTATCAGGATACTCTGTGAGACACTCACTGGTACCAGTTGGTCAGGGTCATCATGATGTAGAGGGAGGCCAGGAAGAGGGAGAAATGGAAGAAGGAGTAGCTGTATGTGACGCCGTCCTCTTCGTTATCCAGGGCGCGCCTCACGCCGTCCTCAGAGACGCCCTCGCTGGCATCGGCGGCCGCCAGCCCCTGAACTTCCTCTGTCTGCATCAGCTTATTCACCTGACTGTTGTTTGAGGAGCGAATGCTAGACGCAAACATGTAAAAGGTGACTTAGACAGACATATAGCAACAAAAAATGAATGAAAAATTATACAAAATAAATCTAACTTTAATTTAAATATGAATTTTATGGCTAGCCGATATATTGAACATTTGCAATGCATTGCTTATGAATTTGTTGCTGATATACACCACCATTGCAAAGTTTGGGGTCCAAGATTTTTGTTTGAAAGAAATTAATACTTTTCTTCAGCAAGGATGCGTTGAATTGATCATTCAGACATGTATAATGTTATAAAAGATTAATATTTCTATTTGAACTTTCTATTCATCGTTTAAAAAAAAACATGAAAAGATTTCCACAAATATTTCTTGAGCAGCAAATCAGCATATTATAAAGATTTCTGAAGGATCATGTGACACTGAAGACTGGAGTAATGATGCTTAAAATTCAGAAATAAACTACATTTGACATTATATTAAAACAGAAAACAGTTATTTTAAATTGTAATTATATTTACAATTTGTGACCCTGGATCACAAAAGCAGTCTTAAGTCGCTGGGGTATATTTGTAGCAATAGCCAAAAATACATTGTATGGGTCAAAATTATTGATTTTTCTTTTATGCCAAAAATCATTAGGATATTAAGTAAAGATCATGTTCCATGAAGATATTTTGTAAATGTCCTACCGTAAATATATCAAAACTTAATTTTTGATTAGTAATATGCATTGCTAAGAACTTCATATGGACAACTTTAAAGGCGATTTTCTCAATATTTAGATTTTTTTGCACCCTCAGATTCCAGATATTCAAATAATTGTATCTCGGCCAAATATTGTCCTATCCTAACAAACCATACATCAATGGAAAGATTATATATTCAGCTTTCAGATGGTGTATAAATCAGGCGGCATTTATTTTACTCAAGAATACAGTAATAAACAGTAATATTGTGAAATATTATAAAAATTTTAAAGGAATGTTTTCTATGATTATCAGTGTTGAACACAGTTTTTGCTGCTTAATATTTTTTCTGTGGAACCATAATACACTCCTATTAAAAAGTTTGATGCATTTTTTCAAGAAATTAATACTTTCATTCAGCAAGGATGCATTAAATTGATGACAGTGAATGCATCCTTTCTGAATTTAAAATAAATAGACTTTTTTCAACACTGATGATAATAAGAAACGTTTCTTGAGCAGATCATGTGACACTGAAGACTGCAGTAATGATGCTGAAAATTCAGCTTTGATCACAGGAATAAAATAAATGTATTATATAAAATTGTTCTTTTCAATGACTTCACATATTACAATTTACTATATTTGTGATCCAATATATGCATCCTTAATAAGAGACTTGGAATATAAAAAAAAAAAAGTAATAATAATTATTCCAAACTTTTGACTGCAGTTTAAGTATCTGGCATATTTCATATTGTTTACAGCATCAGCAGTGACTCTCTAATTGATTGCTATTCTAGACATTCCAGTGAAAACAAGGTTTCTTGAGTTGAAAACCCCTGATTTAACTTGACTCCACGAATGGTTATTCTGCTTTAAAGATCTCAGAGCATGATTGTAGTCTGTTCACAACATGGAAGACGTTTGGGGCTGTTAGGGTCTTGCATGTTCTTCAGTGGGACTAACCACTAGGGGGTGTTGTGTCTCTGTTTTCATGTGAAATGTGTCTGGATGTGTTTTATGAAGTAGTCGACTATTCAGAACTGATCAGCTTTGTCCCTAATTCATTTACAGTACCGTTCAAAAGTTTAGAATGATTTTTTTTTTAATGTTTTTGAAAGAAGTCTCACACAGGTTGCATTTATTTGATCGAAAATACAGTAAATACAGTAAAATTGAGAACAACATATTAGAATGATTTCTGAATGACACTGAAGACTGGAGTAATGATGCTTACAATTCAGAAATAAACTACATTTGACATTATATTAAAACAGAAAACAGTTATTTTAAATTGTAATTATATTTACAATTTGTGACCCTGGATCACAAAAGCAGTCTTAAGTCGCTGGGGTATATTTGTAGCAATAGCCAAAAATACATTGTATGGGTCAAAATTATTGATTTTTCTTTTATGCCAAAAATCATTAGGATATTAAGTAAAGATCATGTTCCATGAAGATATTTTGTAAATGTCCTACCGTAAATATATCAAAACTTAATTTTTGATTAGTAATATGCATTGCTAAGAACTTCATTTGGACAACTTTAAAGATGATTTTCTCAATATTTAGATTTTTTGCACCCTCAGATTCCAGATTTTCAAATAGTTGTATCTCGGCCAAATATTGTCCTATCCTAACAAACCATATACACATCAGTGGAAAGCTTATTTTTATGTATAAATCTCAATTTCGAAAAAAATGACCCTTATGACTGGTTTTGTGGTCCAGGGTCACATATCACTAGTTTTGATTAAATAAATGTAGCCTTGATAAGAAATTCATAAAGTAAAAAATCCTACGGACCCCAATATTGTCCTATCCTAACAAACCATATACACATCAGTGGAAAGCTTATTTTTATGTATAAATCTCAATTTCGAAAAAAATGACCCTTATGACTGGTTTTGTGGTCCAGGGTCACATATCACTAGTTTTGATTAAATAAATGTAGCCTTGATGACTTTTAAAAGCGTTAAAAAATCCTACGGACCCCAAACTTTTAGCAGTAATGTAAAATAAACAAATATCATGAAGGAAACAAATGCATGTTCCCTACAATCCATGTCAATAGACTAATAAAGAGTATGAAGATATTACATTTTCATGCCTTGATTATTTGGAGTTAGTTTATTTCTAATTCTAATTTAAGCCATTTCAAAACAAATACATCAATAAACATTTTTTGAATACAATTAAAAGAAAAAAAGCTGAAATATTTTAAGTTATACTGCTCAGCACAGCTTGTTATTACACATTTCTTTGCCTGTTGCTGGACGATGGTAACCAGCTCACCTGGCATACAGTGTGCACAGGAGGAAGATGACCAGCCCCACAATGCTCTGGGCATCCCACCACTGCGTCTGGATGCCGGGGGCGCTGGTGGGAGTGACTGCTGTCGGCCCGCCGCTGACCAGACTCAACAGACTCGGGTTACACTTACGATCTGTGCACAGAGAAAGAGCCATGCATCTTATGAGAAACTGGTTATTATGAGCATAAAATAGCATACAGTAGGACACTCTATAATAGACAGTGACTGTGTTATTAATTGTACACATGCTACCTATTAAGCACTGGCTGCGAGTTAAGCAGGGCCAATTAATGGGATTGTTACACAGAATTTCCATACTGCGCTCCACAGCAAATATGCTCCTTTAAAGTTTAATTGCATTACATTTGGCCTGGAGGTTGCTGAGGTTTGTCATTTTTTCCATTCAAGCAGCTCCATGTGTTTTTGTGTATGTCTTTTTCCCCAGAATTCAATTATGTAAACAAACAACCTGCATCTGGAATTTTTCCCATGTCTTTCCGAGAAATCCTTTGTTTTGGTGTAACTTTATCAAGCGTGTGATTTCTAAGTTTTGGTAGCAAAATGTAGTTTGAGACAACTATTCATTGCTTACAGATTATTAAGAGACTATCAGACAATGATATAACCTATGTTAAAAAGGGTTTGGGGTCTGTAACTTTTTTTTTTTTTTTTTTTATCATCGAGGATGCATTAAATTGATCAAAATTACTGTAAGGACATTTAAAATGTTACAAATGATGTTTCAAATAAATGCTGTTCTGGCAACACTTTATTTTAAGGTGTCCATGTTACACGTTACTTGTACTTACTATTATAATAACAATTAATTATGCATAATTACATGCAAGTAACCCTAAGCCAATCCATAATCCTAACCATATAGTAAGTACATGTAGTTAATTAATATCACTCAGTACTTATATGTATAATTTCATTGTAACAAGGATACCTTAAAATAAAGTGTAACCGCTGTTCTTGAGTTGTATGTTTTCATGAGATTCTGCCTATTTTTATAACAATGCAGGGTGTTGAATACATGAGAAATGCTAAGCAGGTGTAGCGATTAGCTTGATATAAAAGGCTACAAATAACATATTTCTGCAACATTATATGACCAAAACCCTCATTAGATCACAATCGGAAGTTATTACAAACACTCAATGGTGGTTTAAAGTGAGTTTTGAGTAAAAGCATTGTATACATTTTATAAATTGTCTTATGTAGCATGATGCTACAGTGTGAATGAATGGTCATGCAACATGCGTTTTCCCTAATGCCTCGCTAGAGCCAATCACTCACTGATTTAGGCGCATAAAGCATGCTGCAGGCTTACTGGCTCACTGGCATTGACGATATTAACCCCTTAGGTATCGAAATTTGGTACCGAACGACAAGACATTTTTCGATACTCGATGGTATCGAGGTAATTCGGTCGGTGCCTAAAAAGTATCGAACTTGATACCCAGCCCTAGCTGCATCCCAGTTCGGATTGGATGATTTGGGACCACTTCGGGAGGCTGGAAGTGGATCTGTTTGCGACGAGCGAGAACACACACTGCCTGCTGTTCTTTTGGCTCTCTCACTCCCCGCTGATGGGAGACGCTCTGACGTCGCGCTGGCCAAGAGCCAGACTTGATGCGTTCCCTCCGGTGAAGATTTTGCCTCTGGTATTATGCTAAATCAGGGAAGAAAGAGCGTTGGTGATCCTCATTGCCCTGAACTGGCCAAATCAACCTTGGTTTCCGACCTCAGGGAGATGCCCTGGGCGAATCCCCCTCAGGCGGGACCTGCTGTCTCAAGCGAATGGCTCGATATAGCACCCCAGCCCGGAGCTGTGAGCCTTCATGTGTGGCTACTTCAGGGGTCCTAGAGGGGCTAGGCGCCCTGTCCGTCCCCTGTCGGATGTTCTACGTTTTCTGCAGCACAGGCTAGATAACAGGAGTCTACAGTCAACGCTAAAGGTTTATGTGGCCGCTATTGCTTCGTTTTGTTCCCCGGTTGACGGGCAAACGATCGGGAGGCTCATGCTGGAGTTCAGATATCTCAGGGGGCGAGGATATTACATCCCCCATGTCCACCGTCAGTGCCGCTGTGGGACCTAGCGCTGGTTCTGAAAGCTCTCTCTCTACTCCCGTTTGAGCCCTTGGCATCCATTGCTATGAGGGAGCTCGCCCTCAAAACTGCTCTGCTTCTTGCCCTTGCCTCGGCTAAGCGCATAGGAGATTTGCACGCGCTCGCGGTGGACGATGACTTTATTCACTTTGGGCCTGCGGACTGCAGTGTTATTCTCCTGCCGAGACCAGGCTATGTGTCTAAATCTCTTTCTACCCCCTTTAAAGCGCAGGTCATTTCTTTACCCACATTGTCTGCCGAGGCTCAGAGAGCCGTTTGCCCAGGGACAGGGATGCCCTCTCAACATCAGAGCCCATACGATGAGGGCTATTGCCTCTTCATGGGCCTGGTCTAAAGGCACATCTATTCGGGATATACAGTGGGTACGGAAAGTATTCAGACCCCCTTAAATTTTTCACTCTTACAAGTTGGATGTGCCTTCCCTAAAATCATTTAAGTTAATT